ATATATATATATATATATATATATATATATATATATATATATTTGCAGTTTCAGCCATCGTTATTCATAAGTGAATAAAAATACATCATATTTTTATTAAAGTACATTCGTTATTCACTTATGAATAAAACGTATGCTTAAATTTATTTATTTATATTTTTTTTTTACAGTTTAAGTGTCATTCATATATGAATATAGCATGTAATAAAATTTTCTTACCTAAAATATATTTTTTTACATCATCTTTCGTCAAATGTTATATTTATATATTAATAAAACGTGTATTAACTCTCATCATATGTTATATTCATATATGAATAAAATATTTGTCAGATTTTTGTTACAGTTTTGTAACACCCGAAATCTAGAAGATTAATTGTGGAATAAATCCCCTTTCCTAGGGAGCAACTCGTCGAGTTGATGGTGGGAAACTCGACGTGTTGGAGTCTTTTGGGTCGCGCGTTTTTATGAACCAACTCGGGCGAGTTGGTGAAGGGACCTCGACGAGTTGGATGCTATTGAGAAACCCTAATTTTTAGGGTTTTGCACCCTATTTAAAGACCTTAAGTTCTTGGGCTGGCCTTCTTACCAATCTCCTCTGTCCAGAAACCCTAAAATCGAGCCTTATCTTCCATTGTTGAGTGTGAGAGCTTGGGGAGATCCTTGAGAGTTCATTTTGGTGCTTGTTGAAGGAGTTAAGGAATTAGGAGTTACTTGGCTTGAAGAAGTCTTGGATCCAAAATCTCTGTCTCATTTACCAAAATTTTGAAGTATCAAGTTCTCACCTTGCTTATTAGTTGCTTAGATCTCTTCTTGGGTTAGAGTTTATGCTTTTTCGCCATGGTTGGGTGGATGTTGGGGATTAGGACGTCCCAAATGATTATTCTTTCAGATCTAAGGTCTACATGAGCTCTTTTGGCATAAAGGTGCCAACTTTATGGTTTTAAGGGCTTCATGCATTCATTAAGTCTTTCCTTTAGCCCTTTTTGAGCTTTTGAGCTTCCCCTAGTTATACTCAAGTGTAAAGTTGGAAACTTTACGTGGCCATCTAGCTTTATGGGGTCAGATCTGTATTTTGGGGTTTTGTCCTTGATGATTAAGTGCTTAATGGTTAAGCGCTCACTCTTTTAAGTCTAAGGTTTGGATTTGAACCAATTTCAGTGGTTCCTAGGGGTAAAGTTGGAAACTTTACCCTTCTAGATCTCATTTTGGTCGAGATATGAGCTTTGAAGCTCTTGGATTCGATGAAGGCAGCTTAATGAATTAAGCTGTTGGGTCTCGGGCGAACTCGGTGAGTTGGTTGGTCAACTCGACGAGTTGTTTTGGTTTACCCCGTTTCTGAGTTGATGTAGAACTCGGCGAGTTGGGTCAATATGGATTATGGATCTTGTCCTTTCGATTTATGTCTTTGATCAAGTTTATACCAAGGGGTACTTGAGGTAATCTGAATTGTAATTAAGGGAATTATGGGCTTAGGATAAGGCCCATATGGGGTTGGTCCTAATTTGGAAAATTAGGCCATTAGTGGGATTTTATGGATTTAGTAGTTTCTGGTATTTTGGGCTTGAGTTATTAATGGGCCATCGAGATGCAAATTGTTTGGTCTAGAAAGAATAGTTGGACCTTAAGGCAAAGCCATGTATGGGGTTTGGGACCAATTTGGAAAATTGGGCCATTGGCTGATTAGTGGGCCTTTGGGCCTTATAGATTGTGGTCTGGGTCATGGTTTTGGGCAAGGCTAGGTTAGGGGTAAAATGGTATTTTTACCCCAAGTATGAAGTTGTGGTTATGGATTGGAACCCAATTGTTAATTGAGTATTGTTTTGATCTGACCAAAATCGCCTTCCAGGGTTATGATCTGACCAGGAAGTGATGATGGCAAGATCGTGATTTCCACAAGCACATATCGACATTTTTTGCCCATTTCTTTCTGTAACAGTGGAAGTGGTCGATTGCATTGGGGGGAAGAAGAAGAAGATGTTAATATAGGCCTTACAAAGCTGTTTAGAAAAGGTTCTTTAGGGTAAATTGACAAAAATACCCTCATGTACAAGTCACATGGGGACAGGTTAACGTTGGTATAGAGAAACATCCAACTCAAGGACTATTCACGTGCAACTTAACGTCCGCGGGTACCATTTGAGGGAAAAAGTACAGTAAAGACTACATTAGGGAAAAAACAAAACCTTATGGACTATTCGTGTAATTTAGTTTTTTTTTTTTTTTAACTTTGTTGATTTCTTGAATTTGTATGGTTTCTTTTTTAACATAAAATGACAAAAATAAATTGTTTACAAAAGTAAATAACAAAAAACTACAATATTTTACACATTTGGGATTTTAGCCGTTAATGTTGAAATATAAAAAATATAAAGCATTGTTGTACACCATGACATTTGGTCATTTGGACTCCTCACAATGAGACCTTCAAGCCATATATATCTCATGGCTTGATTGGCGATTGCACCTCACATAATCTGATCATAATTTTGGCAATAAAGTTATATGATCAAAACTAAGGAGTTCACCCTACAAGTGGAAGAGCATTAAATAAACTAACCGGCCTTGTGATTATTGGTTTAGGCATAATTCCATCCTAATACAAGTGGATATATCGATGCTCATGACAAACGGCTCACTATTTTTATTTAAAAGCAGGTCACCATTTTTTAATAAAACGTTGAATATTAAGGGCCCACCTCACTATTTTCATTTAAAAAAAAATACCAGAACCCCCCTTCTGCTTCATTACATAAAAACAACTAAAAGGGTCTCTAAAACACACATCTCTTTCCACCGTAAACCCCAAAGTTAAAACACTTCAGTACTGTTTTTTTCACTGCTGTTTAAGGTGCTTTACTTGCAAAAAGGAAATGTGTTATAGTGGCTAATTTATAGCTTTGTTTTATTTATGGATTCATAGATAGTATCTTTAATTTCATTGTTCGAATGAGTTTTGTTCATAAAGTACAACAGGATTAGGAACATGACTCTAACACACTTCTCTTTGTTGTTCTTTTAGTAGATTCATTTGGTGGGACATTCGTCATCAAGGTTAAAGATTCAAATTCTAGTGAAGCAATCAAGCGCACAAATTAAGATGGAGAAAGGAACTGTTTGTGTAACTGGAGGTGCGGGGTACCTAGCTTCATGGATGATCAAGACATTGCTTGAAGATGGATATTCTGTTAATGCCACATGGAGATCTGATCCAGGTTCATTCTATTAGTTGGCTTTTAACAAATATGTATTATATAATTTTATTACGCTAACTTTTATAAATCATATCATCAAAACTAAAACAAAATAAATCATTTATATATAATTACTTCGAATTAATTATAATTTTATTAAAGAAAACATTTATTAAATAAAAAATACATTGATAACAACTTACTTTTAAATAAAATTTTCACTTGTATATTTATCAAAATATTACACGTATGTTTTAAAAAATGATACACACTTATGATGGAATAAAGATCCCATAAACTAATTAACAACCAATTAACGTGTACTACATTGAGCTTCTTTATCTTTAATAATTTTATACGGAACAATAAATTATTGGAATTAACTACATTCATAAAACATTTTTAAGTTTTTAAATAAATTTAAAACAAAAAGATAAAATCGTATATTTATAATTAATTGATATTAATTAATATAGCATGATATAACAACTATTAATCTTTATATTTTTATTATAAATAATCAGCTAAAATAAACTAGAACTATGTAAATCTAAGTTTGGGTCAAGTCACAGATGTCTAGGACTGTAAGACCAACAGCAACATTTGTTTTTTCCACCAAAAGTAGGGGTATTTGATGTACAAAGTGATTATCTCCGACCATAAAAATTCAAAGAATATTTTGTTTCCAACTTATAAATGTTTTCAGTATAGCTCTTATATTTATTAAGTACTATATATTTTACAAATGTGTCTTATATCATGTTTGTTACAAAAACTTTTAACATGAACATGGTGCATAAAAAAACATTTTCGTGCAACAAATGGTGTAATATACGACAATATGATGCAGGCTTGGAGATGCCCAAATTAAGAAGAGTGTTAAGTTACTTGGGTTTGGATTGGATGGTTGTGTTAAAATTTTGCAATTTATTGATGAATAAAGAAATAGTCATATCATGTAAAATCCATTATCCATGTTTTAGAAACTGTAAACGTAATTATTGTTGCTAAAAACTTACATAAAGCCCTACTGGTGGTAACATTTTTCACCTAAAACAATTTAGCTTCATAACAAAAAGTTCAGTTTTCTAATTAGTTCTAACAATCGAAACAAGAATGCTGTTTTCTAAACTAGTAAAGCTTATTGATGATTGCTAGGCTCAATGGAAGATGTTAGTGGCATCATGGCCCTACCAGGGGCATCAAAGAGGCTCAAAATTTTCGAGGCGGATCTGAGCAAACCAGAGACATTTGAGGCACCAATCAAAGGTTGCATTGGGGTGTTTCATGTTGCACATCCGATTGATGTTCAGGGAAAAGAATCCGAACACGTGCTAACTGAAAGAGCAATGAAGGGTAGTTTGGGTATTCTACAAGCATGCATCGACTCAAAAACAGTAAAGAAACTTATATACACATCTAGTGCATCTACCGTTGTGTTTAATGAGAAACGATTGATCAATGAGATCTTAGATGAGGAATCATGGAGTGATGTTGATTTAATTCGCTCTAATGATAAGCAACATGGATCTTCATATTTCATTTCCAAGATATTGACTGAAAAAACGATCTTAGAGTTTGCTGAGAAAAAAGGTTTCGATGTTGTCACTGTCCTTCCGACGTCTCTTCATGGTCCATTTGTTGGCCCGGATTGCCCACGCTCCGTGCGTGGGTCAATGGCTTTGATCTTCGGTCAGTTACTTGTGTTATACTAATATTTGATGCTAAAGTCATTAACATTACAAATGAAATTTCTTTGAGAAGGTAATGATATTAAGAATAAAATAATTTTCAGGTGACGTTGACAAGGGTCGGATGTTTGTGAAAACGCCTTTTGTGCATGTTGATGATGTTGCTAGGGCACACATTCATCTTTTTGAGCATCCGAATGCGAAAGGGAGGTATATTTGTTCGAAAATCACAGTCACTGTCGATGAGTTATACAAACTATTATCAGAAAAATATCCAGAATATAAATTGCCAATTATCGAGTAAGTTGTTATATTTTTATTCCTCTTGTGAAAAATCTTTAAGCATTTTTTTACTTGAACAAACAAAAATCCCGCTAATCGGATTCTTTTTAAAGTTTTTTGAAGGCCGCCGAAAAAGTGAACATGCCTGAAGTCTCATCAAGAAAACTCTTGGGCACCGGATTCGAGTTCAAGTATGGAATTGAAGAAATGTTTGATGATGCCATTGATTCCTGCAGAAGACACAATATTTTATGAATTGTGAATAAACATGAAGTTCTATTTCCGTGGCGGAGATTTTATATGCTTACAAAAATAAAATATAATTAAAAACTATTTCCACTTTGATTTAATTATAATTAGATGTTCTTGTATGAAGGATAAGGAATACATTGAGTTAATGAAAAAAATGACCACATGAAAATTTTATGTAACAAAATATCATACTTTCAACATTTATTATAAAAGACCCTTTATTTATTACAAAAATAAATAAAAAGCTTTGCTAACTAATTTAAAAAAGGGCCATCATTAACTTTTTATAATGTCTTAAAATATTAAAATAACTGATTTTATGTTTTAGTAGGTTAATCAACTAATGTCTTAGTAATTTATATGTTATTTTTAAATTTTACACTTTTGACTCAAATTTTATATTTTATTACAAATTTTGTATGAATTTTAAATGCTGTTACTAATTCGTCCCGAATATTTTTTATAAATCTATTTTTATAATGGTTTATAAGATTTATTTCTTAAGTTTTTTTCCAACATGTTAAAAAAATAATTTTACAATATTTTCTAAACTTTTTTTTCAACTTTTGCATTATATCATATACATTAACAACCCAAATTTTCACGATGATTGTGCGACACTTGAATTTGACGAAATAAACCAGTTTCAGTCGCTGTTGTATTATTTCCTCTGATTTTAAATTGAATTTTTTATTTCATCAAATTCAAGTGTCGCAAAATCATCGAGAAATTAGTTATAACACCCGTTTCCAATAATGGATCGGTTTAGGGCATTATGGAGTTAAAAGCTTGGTTTTTGGGGAAAAACCGGGTGTCACGACGTAACCATAGAGAGGTCACGACATGACAAGCAAAAGTGAAGAACGTGTATCAGAACTGTGCTCACAACGTGACACATAGGTGGTCACGACGTGAGGAAGGCTGCAACCCAAACCCATGATCTTTAAGGGTTTCATTTGTATTTAAACCCCATCAGCTTGTAATGGATGTTGTGTTCGAGAAAAAAAAAACATAGTCGGTGGAGATAAGATGATATGAAGAAAGGTATACTCGGAATATATTGTAATGCTTGCGTTAAGAAAAAAAAATATAAGGAGGGCAGACGTTGTTGGAACGGAAGAGATGAGAGCGTGAAAGGCAATGGTTTTTTGTTGTCAAATGTGTTTTGTTCAATCGAGTTCTACCTTTTTTGGTAGGACTAAAATCAAATAAAATAGTCCCATTTGACTTGGTCAATAACTAATTTTGTTTTTGTCCAATCCATGTTAAACGTTAGTTAAGAGAGTTTTTGTTTTGTCCAGTCTCGTGCACCAAACAATAACTTAAAGACCATTCAATCCACATATTTTCAAAAAGTTTGGAAAATTACTTTCTTTAAATGAATATGAACCTACAACTTTTCCATAAGGCTGTTAGGTGTGGGCAACGCCCATGAGGCGTTTTTCCACGTTATAACATCACAAACACCGCCCCTTCTTCCCGTTTTTGCGCGTTATTAGCCTCCACGTTGCTTCCTATTATCACTACCACATCCTATAATGCCCGTTTTCTTGTCTTTTCTTCTAAAAACGTTGGTGGACGTTGCCCACTCCGACCGGTCTAAGGCTTTGGCAACTGCTTTAACCAAATTTACTAAATATAATTATTGTTAATTTCAAACATTACTAATCTTAACTAAAACGGTGAAATTTTTGCAAAAAGTTCTAAAATAAAGTACATTTCGCAAAAATATAAAAAATCGTGAAATATGATGTCAAAGTCCACTAAAAAACAATTTCACGAATCACAAAGTATCTATCATCTATCATAAAATAATAGTTAGTTTGTTTATAAGAGATAGTAAAAACTGTTAATCGTATCATCTAGACGGTCCACACTTAACTTCCCTCATGGCACATCACGTGTAAGGTATGCAACCGTTTTTATCTGGTTATCCAGTTTGTGAAGGGTTAATTATTAAAAAAAAAAAAAAAAAAGCTAAATGGTTTTAGTAAACACAAAAATGATATAATCCTTTTTTCAAACATCCTGGGATAATACGTTGGATTTTTCATACAATATCTCTAAAGATGATACTTTGTGATAAATATAAATTTTGTGATAGTCCATTTAAAAAATATTTTAGTTTTTTATTTTTTTGGTTTTCTTGTGGCTTTCAATTACTTGTCATTTTCTATTTGTTGCCTATATAAATCGATAAAAAATGAAAAAGCATGGTTCTCTTTGGAATAATTTAAGATGATGATGACCAAAAGTGAAAACGAGGTGACCTTGCCTAGTTGCCTCACTTCACTCCATCACGTGAAAAAAGTTTGAGTAAAGGTTCAAATTCTAGTGAAACGTCGTTTATCTTACCAACTTATCAATTATCATTCCAACAAGTTTCTTTTAAACCCAAAACAGAGTCATACGGAATAGAAACCATGGAGAAAGGATGTGTTTGTGTAACAGGAGGGACGGGGTATTTAGCATCATGGATGATCAAAAGGTTGATTGAAGAGGGATATCTTGTAAATACAACAGTTAGATCTAATTCAGGTTTGTTCTTTTTCGTTTTGTAAAAAATTCTTCAATCCTCTGTCATATTAATAGAATTGAGTCAAAATCACCTCTTATGATGAAACCAGAAAAACATCATAGTTAAAAACAGAAATTCCAGATAATGTAAATTTGTTTTTTAAGGTTGTTATATTTTTGTTAGTTTTATTTTTAAGTTTTGAGTATTTATTGGGTTTAGTTAGTTACTTGGAGATGGTGTAGCTGAAATTATTAGCTTTACTCAATTGAGTTCAAAACAAATAAGAAGTAGAACAATGAAATATTTGTAAGCCTTATAATACAAGAAATTCAGTTTTTCTCAATCATAAGAAAGAAACCATTTCTTAACATTTGTAGCTAGCATAGACTATAGTCATGGTGGATCGATTCTCAAAAAAATTATAATTGTTAGGATCTATGAAAGATGTGAGCTACCTGAAGGCTCTACCCGGGGCATCAGAGAGGCTTAAGATTTTTGAATCGGATCTAAGCAAACCCGAGACATTTGAGGCACCAATCAGAGGTTGCATCGGGGTGTTTCATGTTGCCCATCCGATTGATTTTGTGGGCAACGAACCCGAAGAAGTGCTAACAGAAAGAGCGATCAAGGGTAGTTTGGGTATTTTACAAGCATGCATTGATTCAAAGACCGTTAAGAAACTCGTGTACACCTCTAGTGCATGTGCTGTTGTATTGAATGGTAAAAATACCAATGATATCTTAGATGAGGATTGTTGGAGTGATTTTGAATACATTCGTATTTGTCATAAGGAATTTGGAGCTTCCTATTTCATTTCCAAGACAATGACCGAAAAAGCAACACTAGAGTTTGCTGAGAAAAAAAAAATTCGACGTTGTTACTGTTATTCCAACGTATATCCATGGTCCATTTGTTGGCCCGCATTGCCCAAACTCTGTACGTGTCTCAATGGCTATGATATTTGGTGAGTTCCTCATATCATCTTTACAATCTATTTAAAATCATTTGAAATCTTTTTAATTAAATTTCTTTGAAATAAATTGTATAAAGATCCATAGCTTCTTTTGTTTACATTTTAGTTTGTTTCTTTTGTTTACATTTTAGTTTTTTTACGTGCTTATTAGCTAAAAAGAAATTTTGTCCATTACCTTTTTACAAATCAAAAAATTCAAAACTAATTTCAGGTGAAACGGATAACTATAAGCTACTTACAAAAACCGCTTTCGTACATGTTGATGATCTAGCTAGGGCACATATTCATCTTTTTGAGTGCCCAAATGCCAAAGGAAGGTATATTTGTTCGAAAATTGAAGTCACAATCGAGGAGTTGTACAAACTATTATCAACCAAATATCCAAAATATAATATATCAAATATCGAGTAAGTTTTAATATTATTGTTTCTTATGAATCACTGTTAATTCTTCCTGTTTGAAATGAACAAAAATCCTTTTAACCGAGTTTCCTTTTTTTTTTTAATAGATTTTTGTTAGATGCCGAAAAAATGGAGTTTCCTAGTGTCTCGTCCAAAAAACTCTTAGGCACTGGCTTCGAGTTCAAGTATGGGCTTGAAGAAATGTTTGATGATGCAATTGATTGTTGTAAACAAAAAAATATATTATAAACTATTAATAGTTGTATAATATATTATATATATATATATATATATATATATATATATATATAGATATATATATATATATATACTAGTAGTGTACCCGCGCGATGCGGCGGCGGCGATTTGTTTCATTCCAACAATTCGTTTCCGAACGAAAGTCCGTGTCATTCTGGCGGTTTTCAAATTGTTTCCTTTCGATTTGTTTCATTACGATGATCGGTTGTCTCTAGACGGACATCAAATAATAATTTACACCTATTACACTTTATTTGGCAGCGGACGGCGATTAGTTTCGTTTAACAAATAATGTTAAGATGATAAAATTTCATTTTATTTGTTTCATTTCGAATTGAAAAGGTAAAAATATATTATATTAAATATAAAAATATTGAACTGCGTTTAAAATAATAGATGTTAGCTTTTTGCGAGACTATACATGAAATAAACATGTAAAAAGTTAAATATTAAATTATGTATTTTTTTTTTCTTTTTGCGTTTTGTAACCGCATCATACAGTAGTGGCAAATAGTTTCGTTCATCGATTAGTTTTCTTTTGGTAGGCTTTTTCTGAAAATAGTTTATTTTATGCAATTAGTTTTACTTTCGACAGGGAATAAAAAAAAATTGACAATATAATTTATTTATATATTATAAAATATATATTATTGTTCGTGTTTTGTTCTTTTCGTATCTAGTTTTCATTTTAGTTTGTTTGATAATTTGCTAATATCAAATAACAAATTATTGTTGAGCCAATTGTTAGCCATAGAAAAATATCGTTGACACATTCCTTTAAATATTTTAATCAACTTTATTACTTATAATTTTGATAAACGGAGGCATTCTTTCTATTCAGTGTTACTATTTTAAACCACTATAATTGTTGTGATTAACTCTACTCACCACCTTTAACATCACGAATAATAAAGTTTGTAAATGAAAACCAGTAAATGCACTTATGCTTCAATTTTCAAACCATAAAAAAAGAAAATTATATTTGGAAATTATTTAATTAATAAAAAGAATACTAAACTGAAATAAATATGATGTTAGGGCCGAATACTTTTAAGTAATTTTTTTATTAAACAGAGATTACATTTTTCATCAACGAAAAATAAATAATTTTATAGTCTTTAAATACTTAGGCTATTTTTAAAAGTAATTGGAAATTTAAATTAATTTTTAAGAAATAGTAATAAACTAATATTAATTTAGAATATCTTAAATGTAAATTAGCTAACAAAGATATACTATTCCTAAATAAATATTTTTGGAACAGATTTGTAATAAGCAAATATATATTTTTAAATAAACCTTTATGTTTTACTAACTCTTATATAAACAACCTACATATAAATTGTGTGGTTTTTACAAATGGTCTCTCTTTAAATGTTTAGAGAGCAACAATTAATATTAGAAGTGAACTGATTTCAAGTATGTCAATATATTAAACAAACAATGAACTATTTAAGATCTAAGCACTCTTTGTTTCAAGTCACAATACAGATTTTCATATCTAAAAACTCAGAAATTAAAAGGAAACTAAATAAGCTCATTTGTGTATAGATTCTTCTTTACATTTAGAATTCTATAAAACAAAAGTAAATGAAAATAAATGATCCTAAATATTGAGCCATAACCAAATTATATGTATGCAAGAGAAAGAGACTGAAATTGTGAATAGTTTGGTTGTACACAAAAATTCAATTCCCATCAACTCTCCCAACCTGTAAAAATAAACACATTCTTAGTTCACACACAGATCTAACTTCACCATATTTTTTTTTTCTTTTATAATTTCATATGAAAATTACCTAATTTTGCTTCTCTGCAATCACAAAGAGCCCACTATACAAACTATATCAAAAACCTTTTTAAATATGTTCCACCTTACCATATAATATAATATAGTTCAATGTCTTTGCAAAATAAAATAAAGAACCATCAAGTCCCGTTCCATTTCTGTAGTCCCCTTCCATTTCCATCATTGGCGATAGAGTCCAACTCACACAACTTACCTTCATCCATGTCGCATCAAACAAACCTTAAATCAATTGTATTTACACTAAAACACTACCAACAAAAAAGAACATTAGGCGATAAATTATGCTAGGAAATAAGAAACCATATCTTTCCTTATAGATTTGGATTTTCACTCCCATTATTAGCAAAGTGTCAAACGTGAGATATCAAGCAAAAAATCGAACATTGTTGCAGCAAAACAAATCAATTTTCTGTAAAAGATTACTCTAAATGTGTAACTTAAATCTATTGCAGTATGTAGATAAAGAATGAAAAACCTTCATATGTGTTAAAGAAAACATTTTTTCAGAAAACCTAGACTCCATTCCTATTTAAGGACACAAGTAAAAGTCAGAGATTGCTTAGGGGAACATTTTTACGCTATGGTCCTTCAAGATGGATATGCACACAAAATGAACAAATATATTACCCACAAACATCATACGATGGGATTCGAATTGCGTAGGTCTAAAACAAATGAAGTCAGAAAGAAAGTCGCATGTGCCGAAGAAGCGGCAGTGGATATGGTTGACATAGAGAGAAGAAGGCAGTCGTTCAATTTCTAGGGTTTCTAGAAAGGTGTGAGAATCGGAGTATGGATAGCGAGATATGTAAATTCATATATAAAAAAGGGATTTTGGATTTCAAAAACGACAACAAAGAAGAAAATGGGGGCGATCCGTGTGCTTTCAACAAACACCGGTGGATGGTTCTAGTGGATCAACGGCCCAGAAAGAAAGTTTGCTGATCCGTGTGACATTTAGTCCATGTTTTTATCTTAGGCTTTAACTAATAGTATCTTCAGCATCATAACTTGTACCTCTTAATTTTAAGATATTATGCTTAATAGTGTTGTACCTTTAGCTTAAGGAGTTGTGTTTAAGACATTGAATATGTATGGTTTATAATATATATATATATATATATATATATATATATATATATATATATATATATATATATATATATATAACAACAAGCTTTGGGTATGATATATTAACAATACTTCAATAAATGTTTCTTTTATTAAGGTAGAGGCTTGTTTTGCCAAATTGTGAATACTAAAGTCAAAGCTTGTAGAAATAACCCATATGGACTAACTATGACAACGGTTCGAAGCAGGGTAATGGAGGATGGTAGTGGCTCAAGGATTGATTGATGATAGTGTTGGTCCGATGGAAAGAGGCACACATCACTCTAGCTCAAAATTGTTCGCCATAAATAGGCGAAGATGCCATGAATATTTTACATATTATAAGGACATTTCCAACCCAACATTAAAACCTATTTTTATATCAATTTTGATATAAAGTTATGAATACCCTATCCAACATTTAGCAATATCTTTTACAACAAATTAATAAATTTGTGTAAACACTCGTGATAAAATCTATGAAGTAATTCTCTGAGCGTGAGTTAATCCAATACTCAAAATCCCCATTTCTAAGTACTCACGAACGTTGCAGCAAACCATTGCTATGTCTAAACCCTTAGACAACCTATAATTCAATTCATGACAGTCTTAATTCGCTACTTACTTCCAAAGGTATGAGCGACTGTGGATGTTTGAATAATCCAATTATTCGGGAAGTAAAACATGCAAAATGAAACACAATAATAACCTAACTAACTATGGTTTCAAAACTATTGAATATAAATAAAACTCTTATTATTTAATCACCATATTAATTAGACTTTATTCATTGTATAATGTTTCGAGTAATCAAATAAACACTTGAATTAAACATCAGTCATGTCATGTTATAAACATGCATACTATGTCTCTCTATGGTCCTTCCTTTGTGAACAAATTGATTGGACACTATTCCAATGATGCTCATTTCACAATTTCAAATTCTTATCACTACTAGAATGTGTTAGAATTCCAACTTTATATGCAATGTCGTTTTGTGATATCAAGGCCTCAAAGTCACAGAGATTTTGCCAATGATATTACAAAATGTTCCATTGAAATTTTGTTACTTAAAACAATTCCATGGTAATGAAGTCTCAAATTCAAGATACACTCCTTGAACATCTTCCTTGCATTAAAGTTCCTAACTCACATGTAGATTCTAATCATCAACTCCCATTATGGAAACATTTTCATATCCCCATATGACTATCAATTCCGAACAAGAGTCACCTCCATTCAGAATTATGTCAATATGGTCCGTCCAAATTAATACTATACTTTCAATTGTCCATAAGCAACCATTCTTCAGTAAACCTCAGAGTGTTCTTGACAGTTGTTTAACAACTTTAGTCACACCAAGTTCTAGTCCTTTTTCCCTTTCAATACGTAAGGCATATGGAAAAATCAGAACAAGTGAATATTATAGCATATGTAAACGATCCTATATCCGAAGCATATGAGACTCGATACATAATGTCTTACATAAAGGCATGATATCTGACCAGTCTCTTGCTATAATATTTCCATATATCGAATCTCCTATGTTGAATCATTTCAACACGAGATTCATATATGTCCAAGACTAATTTTTATCTAAACTTTTAGATTTTAAATGAAGTAGGAATGCTCTCTCCCCTAAATTTTTCTGTAGCGAAATAATTCCCAAACTTTATAATTTGCAAATTTGAAATCTTTGTTTCCTACAACTAATATTGCCAACTTGCGACACTTAACATAACAACTATGCTCCCACTAGCATTGACATGTATTCAGAAATCAACAGAACTTCCAGAAATCAATACTTTTTTTTTACTTTCTTACTAAAGTGATGCTTCAATGAGTCTTCATTTAGACTTCTTAATCTTATACATCTTTCATTAGATAGCATATGTGTGTGTTTAAACCCTTTCAGAACTTACATATATAAGTCCTGAACGTTCAAACTATTTCTTGCCATTTCTCACAGTTCGAACTATGAAAAGAGATGCCGTAATCATATTTCGAATTTGAGAACGCAATTAACACAACCACCAACCAAAATGATATTTATCAAATCTTTAAAATCTACTAGCGAAAGTGTTTCCTCATAATCACTTTCATGAATTAGAGCGAAATCTTTTGTCACCTAGATTTTATGGTGTATGTGTTCCCATCCATTTGAATCTATCACTTTCAACCTACAATCATAAGACAAGGTTTGTGAAAAATTCAAATTCTAATTTAGCTTCATGGACTTAACTTTACCTGTTCTTAATTTATTGCCTTCTGGTAGCACAAATGTAGCACCCGGTTCCTGGTACGTATTTTCATTCAAGTAATTATAAAATTTTGGCCTGGGACTTGACGAGTTGAAGGTCCAACTCGTCGAGTAGAATCGACTTTGGACACGGCAGTTTAGTGACCTACTCGACGAGTCGGCGAACCGACTCGACGAGTAGGCGCTGTTTGGACAAAACCCTAAACCTGAGGGATTGCACCCTATTTAAATGTCTTAATGCAGCCTCCATCGTCCCTTATGCTCCCAGAACACCTCATACTGAAACCCTAATCGTTTTGTGAGATCTAAGGCCCTTTTTGGTGATTTTGGAGGTTTGTGATCACAAGAAAGAAAGAAAAACTTGAGGAGCCAAGAGGAAACTAGAAGATTTCGAGTTTGTGCAGCATCTACAGTTCCTTAGAGGTATAAAGCTTATACCTTGTTCATTCATGTTCTAGATCCCTTTTTGGAGTGAATTAGGGCTTTTAGGAACCATTTTTGGTGACCAATCATGAGTGCAAGCATGGTTGGGGGTTAAGACTCCAGATCCAGGGTCCTTAGGGGACTTCATGGCCTAAAGTGGCCAACCTTGTAGCCATAGAGAGCCACATGCACCTTTAGACCTCATTTTTGGGTCCATTAAGCTTATACTCCCATGCATGCACGTAAAGTTCGTAACTTTACGTACTAGATCGATTTTAGAAGCTCAGATCTATCTTTTGGATGAGTGTTGTACATCAGAAATCAAGATATGAGACTTGGACAACACCGACTCGTCGAGTTGTTCTTGGAACTCGGCGAGTCCAGGGCTTGAGTCCCCAGACTATTGAGGTTCAAAGGAACCCAGTTGAGTGTTAGAAGGGTCTTAGAGGGGTCCAGGGGAGTGACTCAACATATTAGACTTAGCCATGGACCTGGGAATCATAGGACTCGGTGAGTGTATGATCAGACTCAGTGAGTCCAAGGCAATCTCCCAACCCTTTGAAGATGGACTCGACGAGTTGTTCATACAACTCGGCGAGTCGCAGACTGGACATGTTTATAGGATGAAGGTGAACTCGACGAGTTGTTCATACAACTCGGCGAGTCGGATGAAGGTTCATTCGATGATATTATAGAAGGAGAACTCGTCGAGTCCTTGCTAAACTCGACGAGTAGGGTCGGGAGGGGGTCAGATGAAAGAATATGGACTCGGCGAGTTGGCGGCCCAACTCGGCGAGTCAGGTCAATTGGAAGTTGACTTTGACCATGATATTGACTTTGGCCAGGGGTAAAATAGTCATTTTACCCTGAGAGTAGTTATCAGCTTCTGACTAAGTGTCTTTATGGGAATTATAGTCGGAGAATCGCCGGAGTAGCAGACAGAGACTTCTCACTTGGATCGACAGCATTCATTCATACGAGGTGAGTTACCTTCCAGTAACGGTGGGTCTACGGCCACAATGTCGGCCTACCAATAGGAGTTGTATGTTAGATGATTGTCTTTGTGATATTCATCTATTTTTGCTACTACCTAATATGTTATATGCTGACATGATATGTTATATGTGACAATGGTAGTAGGGGGAGAATAGTTCCCAAGTTCGGTTGTTAGGACCGAAGGGTAGGTCGGACACCCCAGATATGTCTGACAGTATGTTGATAGCTTCATTTTATTACTTCTTTCCGTAGTTTATTTTTAGTTAAAACCATCTCATTTTAGTTAATCTTCATGCATATTTTCTCTTTTTGTTATTTTTCTCCTTTACCGGGTGCTTTCCAGTCTTTTGAGCTTATTTGCAGGATTTATCGAAGACTATTTGTCATTGGAGGCGTGGAAGGAGTACGAGACTTATGGAGGCTTGCGGTTTGCTTGTGGACTTGAGGTGGTGCGATTGAGCTTGGTGCTTGCATAAACAAGAAATCAATTTGGACTTAATTTTTGAGTGAGAATGATGATGAGGCGACGCGGAATCGAGTTACGGAAGATTGAAGGAGCATTGGATCAATCATTAGAGGCTTTGGAATGGCACAAATGGGCTCTAAAGAGTTATGCATGTGGGCTGAATTGTGAATGAGAAGAGTGGGCTAGATTGTATTTTAAATGGCCCAAGTCCCACATTCAGCGTGACCCACGCGGTCCGCGTGGACCCATACGCGCCCGCGTGAATTGTGATGAAATGAACCCGGGTTTTGACTTGTTGACCCTATTTGTGGAAGGTTGGTGGGAGGCTTTTGGCACCTTTTTGAATCCGGAAACCAGCTCCTTTTTGCTGGAGATTGGAGGTATTGTTGGGGATTATCACTTGAAGATCACACACCATTTTCTCTCAAGAAGGCTTTGGAAGATTTGAAGATTTTTGAAGATTAGTGTAATTTATTTCCATCTTGCAACTAGAACAATGTTTGGTACC